ACTTTACCGAAAGAACCAAGAAGACAAAGCAAATTGCTCAATCAATTAAACAAGTATACTAATTACAATGAAACATGTTAAACTCAGTGTTAACAAAAACATGTTTTTGCGTGCGCATGTGTACTTATGTGTGTGTGAGTGACCAGCTCCGGTTTGACAGCAGAGGTCTCACACCGAAACAGTCGGGCGGCATATTTGCATCGGCTGCATAACGCTGTGTGGAAGCTACCTGGTATGTCGCTTCGCACGAAACTTCGGGTCTTCTCGGCCACAGTCATGCCTTCCCTTCTCTATGCTTGTGAAACGTGGACCCCTCTAATGGAACATCTGCGCTGGTTAAAAAACATTCAGGTTGGCATGCCTACGATCCATCCTGGGTTTAACCAGGCTGGATTGTGTGAGGAGCTCACAAATCCTTGAAAGATCTGGACACATTCCCATCAGTGAGCTCCTCCGGCAGGCATGGCTGCGTTGGCTGGGTCATATAGCCCGCATGTCCAGCCACCGCATGCCCAAGCAGCTTCTGTATGGCCCGCATAGAGGGGGCTAAACGGGCACGACATGGGCTGGAGAAGAATTGTACTGGTGTGGGAGGATATGGAAATGAGTGGACTTGCCAAAGACTGGTACCAGCGGTGTCAAGATTGGCCTCTCTGGAGGAGGCTCGTAAAGGACGCTAACTGGGCAGTTGGAGGCAGTCGGAGGGCAAAGGAGTGACACTCACAACAACGAGTGGAGCGCCGGGTGGATAAAATCCAGCAAGTTGGCACAGCAGGGGGTAAAGCTGGTATCAGTCATCTCAGTCACCTGGGTCTGTCCCGTGACGTCCTGTCAGCCAGCCTTCGACACTTCGCGTGGCCTCAAAGTGCACCTGGCACCTCGCTCAAGAAGGGCTCACAAGTGATGTCATCACATCTACCCCTCTATTTAACGAATGAAACAGGAGTATTTATCCATAAATCTGGCCGTCGGCTGATGAAGCTAGTTGTAATTCCTGGCGAAACGTCGTACTCAGATTGTAAATGTTGTGGCTTTGCGCTCCAACACACCGGTGTGCTGTACTTGTAACGAATTGGCACGTTCTGTTTACGTGACAACCCTTACTAATTGGATGTGGCGAGTGTGGCGGGTGTGGCGGGTTTTACGATACATTTATATATTTACGCAATACAACCCCCCAAAAAAACCTGTACTACGGATGATATTGGTCGCGAAAGAGCTACGTGTTAAACTAAACTTCAAATTGAGTTTTAAGTGCGTTTGAAACTGGAAGGCCGGAAAACTGAAAAAAAACTCCAACTCTAAAAAAACCCACATTTAGTGACTTCAAGAAAACCCAATTCCCTACAGAAGGAGTGCGTCAACCGTCAACTTCCCCCTGTTGACTTGTAAGCGTTGCGTCAAATACAGTATAAGTGCACTACAAGGGCAGTAAAAAAGATACATTCACACAAATGCCTCCGCACGTGAACCTGGCCACGGGATTTTTTCAGGGTTATCCCCTCCGATCTGCGGTTGGTTTCCCCCGCCCCACCAAGGAACGTCACTTTCCTCCCACGTGACCAACCCCCCCTACTCTACCCCCCCCCCCCCCCCCCCCCCCCCACAAAAAAGCCTGTATTGTGGATGATATTGGTCGCGAAAGCCTACGTGTTACACGTTTTACAATCGGCCGAACGTTCCATGGTTATAAATAGGTAAAAGGTGCGGCCATGATATTGCTGTGCGAAAGAAGTTGAACATCCAGGTACATACAGGCATTCCCCTACTTACGAACGAGTTAGGTTCCAGAGGTCTGTTCGTAAGTCGATTTGTTCGTAAGTCCAACTTTACTCCTGTCGATTCCAAACGTGTTGTACGGCATCTACACTAAACACGGGGAATGGCTTTAAAAGTTGTATAATCTCAAGCAGATGTAGATGCCACTGGTTCTTCATGTTCTCTAGATGGAGATGCCACTGGTTCTTCACGTTCTGTAGATGTGGATACCACCACTGCCATCTATTGCACGGCGGTTGAACTTACGACTCTCGGTCCGAACATGCAACTGGACGTACGGACCAGGTTTGTTCGTGTCTCTGAAAATTCGTAAGTCGGATGTTCGTAAGTAGACGAGTCCCTGTATTGTCAATGTACGTAACTGCAGTCTTGTAAATACAGCACGCAACGCCTACGATAATTGCACAGAGCAGAGATAAAGCACACGCGCGTCGGTGATAGTAAGTTTCATTTTAGTCACGGGTTTGCTGAGCGCAGGCCCAAACGGCTCAAAACACCAAGCGGAGAGCAACAAACAGCACGAATGAAGGTGTAACAGTGAATAGCGAATGTGTCTTTCGTTTTAAATGGAGACGTTTTCGAGCCAAGGCCATGTGTGACACCTGCAGCCACTAGATACCGCTCTACAATCACCACATAACACATGCAGGGCCCTCCAATTGTCACTCTACTGCTGGATGACGGCCTCCCCGTACTGCCGCCGCGCGAGTCGTGGCCTGTTCGGTGAGCGTCAGTGGACGGCTTTGGGAGCCAGAGGGCGTGGGAGCAGGGTACAGGAACGACAATGTGCGTGTGATAATGCAACGCTGACGCCGTATATCCCCGCCGTTCAGTGCTGTCACACGCGTACGTACACAAGATTAAATTATTCTGGGTAATTATCGAAGAGAGTCGTCACAGAGACCGACAGCTGTCAGAGCTTTCGTCAGCTCAGGCAAGTTTTCCTTTTTTTTTGGGGGGGGGGGGGTGGGAAAGTACGCGTGATGGTGATTATTATGATTATACCATCAATCACACGCTCACGTCACATCGAAAACGCACAGGCTCAAAGGTTCAGTTTTTAAAACGGAGCGAGGGACAGACACCAAGAGTTGACTCAGAAAATTCACGGGAATTGCTGTTGACAAAGGATAAATATGATTCATATACCGTGCACCTATAAATAAAATTGCATCATATTTTGCCCAACTACTCGGCTTGTGTCATGCTAATCATCCTCGTCATTAGTGTCACCTTGAGGTCAGTCATTGGCATCTCTCGAATGGAATTACGGGAATTGCAAAATTGAGCTGCGTGTCGCTCCCCCATTGCGCTCCATACAGACCACCTGAGTTCGATTCCCGGGCCACGACTCACATATCAGTGGCGAGTGATATCTGAACCCCCTGATGGATATCCCCCCCCCCACCCACCCCCGCAACTGCCCTTCAACAACCCCACACTGACAAAGAGTGGTGAAGTATGGTCAAACAACCCTCCCGCCCCCCCCCTAAAACCACCACACCCGATGTAACGTGTGGACGTGCAGGGAGTCTTTCATCCAGCGGTGAGTGATGAAGCGATGTAAATAATGATTTTAAAGGCCACGTGTTCCAGCCCACACGGATATCGTCACCCAGGGAGGTTATTTTAGAGCAGTCCCACGCCCCCCCCCCTGCTCCCCTCTCTCCATTGCATTTTTTTGTTAAGTGAAAAATAAAAGTAATGTATATTCTTGGTTCTTTCGGTAAAGTCACTTTTATGATTGTGGTTTTTTGCTTTTATTATTTTCAATTTATGATTATGATTATAATTTGGCATTTTTAATTTATTTATTGCTTTATTTTCTATCTACGTGACTTTACCGAAAGAACCAAGAATGAAAACGATGAACGAGAACAAACAAACAAAAATAACAACAAAAAACGACGACGTTTCGATCACAACAACAAGCGATCGCCCTCTTTCCTCCTGATGACGATCGCTTGCGTTGCGATCGAAACGTCGCAGGTTTATTTTTGTTATTTTCTTTGAACCCATCCACCTGACTTTACCGAAAGACCCAGATAATATGAATTCATGCCGTCAGGAAAGCTCTAAGTCAAGATTTAAGGACGAACAACAACATGATGCGTTACGCATTGGATTTCAGCTACCATGCGCTTGTGTCCGGCAACACGCATCGGCGTTCAGACATCACCCGCGAGCTTAAAAAATCATCGCGTCGACGATTGCTATCGCAGCTCGCGACTTCGATTAGCGTCGTTTGTTGACTCGTTAAGGTTAAAAGACGGGTTCGGGCGTGAGGACGCGCGGCAGCGGCTCCACGGAGCGACCGTCCGATGGCCAAGGGGTGGTGACGGAGCCATCGCCGAGCGTCGCGAACGCGACGCAGAAGGACGTCGACCAGAGGGGAGACGGAGCGATGCGTGGCTCTCAGTGGCATCCCCCCCACCTCCCTCTCCCCACCCCCGTGGATTCGTGGCATCGCGTGGTCGTGATGGAGACGGGTGCCGTGTGTGTGTGTCTGTGTGTGTGGGGAGCGGTGGTGGAGCGGTTAGCGCGCTGCGCTATGAACCTGGCGACTCGGGTTCGATTCCCGCTCACGGCCAACAGCGGTGACGATTACCTGAACCGGTCCTGGACCTCCCCTAGGTCGACTCAGCCTCAAATGAGTACCTGGTGCGGTGTGTAAACATTGCCACTAGGGAGACAAAGGCGGTCGGGCGTGGTGCTGGCCACCCACCCCCTCGTGTACCGTTCCGGCCTTCATAGGTGCTCGCTAACAGCACTTGCCCCTACAGTCTGTTAAGGCTATATGGGGGATCTTTGTCTTTTGTGGACTTCTCGCGCATCGCACGCAGGCAAATCGTGCGAATCGGAGGTGCGGGGGTTGGGGTTTGTTAGGACAGCAAACTAAACTCAACAACAACAAAACACAACAGTCCTAAAGAAACGCGGTTTCAATCTGGAACGGCGGCGGCTTGAGCAAGATTTCATCCAGCAGCGGATCGATCGTGGCTTGTGATAACGAATGATGATTCAACGTCAGTAATTCGAGTTTTGAAAACCATCCTATTGGTGATATCAACATCTTTATGAGACGCACCTCACCCCCTCCCTCCCCTCCACGCCCCCGCAGAGGTATGTGACTGAAACACCACCCACCTCTCACAGGTGTGTGTGTGCGTGCGTGTGTATGTGCGTGTGTGTGTGCGCGCGTGTATATATAAACACGGACTTACCCGCGTAGCCGTACACACACACACACTGCTGTACAGCCCGAGTGTTGTGAGCGAGCACAGAACAAACACACACACACACACGCGCGCGCACATAAAACGCATAACCAGGCACGCGTACCTGTCACACGTCTAGGCACGGGGCTCGTCAATCTCAAGGAGCGCGCGACGTTCGTCTCGGGCTGAAGGGCACACGGTAGAGCAAACGAGAAACCCAGCGAGTGAGTAGGCAGGCAGGCAGGTTGACGGTGCAGTTTGCGGGATAGGTGAGACGGTATGTGTCTGCCACTGCTGCTGTACGTGGTGGTGCCGTTGCTGGTGGTCTACGCGGTCGCTTCGATCTTCCTCCTCAAGAACCCTGCCGTGCTGCACAGGAAGAAGAAGCTACACTTCCACTGCAGGCACATCTCCCACCGTGGCGGTGAGCAAGCAGCCAGGGCAACCCGGCCACATGCGTACACCTGTACACCTGAGTAGCTCTGCGCCTGTACACCGAGAACACCTGTGCACATGAGTACGTAAATACATACCTCTGCGCATGAACACCTGGGTAGCTCTACACCTGTACAACGAACACCTATGCACATGAACACCCGAGTAAACGCTACACCTGGGCATCTGAGCCACATGAACACCTGCCGGAAATGAACACTCGCAAAAACGTGAACACTTGCGTAACCTCAACGCGTGTTCACCTGAGCACCTGGGCAGGCGGCCACCACCTGTGAATGCACACACGTGTACACCTAAATACCGGCGCGCATGAACACCCAACACATGATGGTCGTGTGAAAGCGAGCTCACAATAGGCAGCACGGATGAGACGGTACAGTAACAAACTGGGCAGTACGAACTTGGCAGTACAGATAGGACCACACAAACGACACAGCACAGACAGCACAATCTGGGCAGTGCGAACTTGGCAGTACAGATAGGACCACACAAATGACACAGCACAGACAGCACAAACTGGGCAGTGCGAACTTGGCAGTACAGATAGGACCACACAAACGACACAGCACAGACAGCACAAACTGGGCAGTGCGAACTTGGCAGTACAGATAGGACCACACAAACGACACAGCACAGACAGCACAAACTGCAGGGCAGTGCATGTTAGGCAATGAGTACAGATGAGACAGTACAGATCAGACAGACGAGGAGTACACGAGACTCACAGTCCAAACGAGACACTACAAACTGGGCAGTACATACGAGACTGAGACTATAAACAAGACGCACAATACAGCACATACGAGACTGAGACTATAAACAAGACGCACAATACAGCACATACGAGATTATACACAGTCCAGACGGGACAGGCCAAAGAGCGAGTTTATATATATAAAAAAGCATCGATTATGTTAAACAACAGTAACCCGGATTCGCGTATCGTGGGGAGTATCGAACAAAAATAATCTCAAGCCTCCCGTAAACCACGTGACTCATTCTCCGCGCCGCCCGCTGTGAAAACAGACGCCACTCCTCTGCGCAGCAGCGCCGAGGCTCTGATGCAGCCACCCATCCTCCCCATCCTCCCATCCTCCCCATCCGCCCCATCCACCTCATCCACCCCATCCTCCCCATCCACCCCATCCTCCCCATCCTCCCATCCTCCCCATCCTCCCATCCTCCCCATCCTCCCCATCCTCCCCATCTTCCCCATCCTCCCCATCTTCCCCATCCTCCCATCCTCCCATCCTCCCCATCCTCCCATCCTCCCCATCCACCCCATCCTCCCATCCTCCCATCCTCCCCATCCTCCCATCCTCCCCATCCTCCCAATCCACCCCATCCTCCTATCCTCCCATCCTCCTCATCCTCTCATCCTCCCCATCCACCCCATCCTCCCCATCCACCCCATCCTCCCCATCCTGCCCATCCACCCCATCCTCCCCATCCTGCCCATCCACCCCATCCTCCCCATCCTCCCATCCACCCCATCCTCCCATCCTCCCCATCCTCCCATCTTCCCATCCTCCCCATCCACCCCATCCTCCCCATCCTCCCCATCCTCCCCATCCTCCCATCCTCTCCATCCTCCAATTCTCCCCATCCTCCCATCCTCCCCATCCTCCCATCCTTCCCATCCTCCCCATCCTCCCCATCCTCCCATCCTTCCCATCCTCCCCATCCTTCCCATCCACCCCATTCTCATCTCTCCTGAACCAAATTGTTCCCGTTTTCCCCCATCCCTTCTCCATACTTCCCCCTCGCCTGCCCTGTTATTTCTCATCTCTCTCGCCCTTTCCCGCTCCCCCTTCTCTTTCTCCGTACGGGCGTGTCCCCCCCCCCCCCCCCCCCCCACGTTGTGACTTGTTACCAACCTCCCCGTGGCGGCGTTGATCCGCGGGCAATAAGTCGGGATGCTATAGTTAGTTTGACAGCGAGACTTCCTGAGTGGCATTGACCGAATCTCGACCGCAGACCGGAACCGCGATCCCATGCCCGCGTGGGTGGCAGGGGAAAAACGTGTTTTTTTTTCGTGCCTAGTCCGGGTGCGAGTGGTGGTTGGGGTGGGGGGGGGGTTGTGTACGTTAGGCGTACGCGTGCGGTAGGTATCGACGGTCAACGCGAATGGCAAATATATCAGCAACAACAAATAACAAAACACACAAAAAAAGGCTGCGGGATCGCGCGCGGTTTCTGTGCAGCCGAGCGGGGAGCGTTGAACGTGTCCTTGGGGTCAACGAGAGTTGTTCGACCCGTACACTTCACCGCCCCGGTCACCGTGGGCTGGCGACGGTCAGGGAGCATTTCACTCGTCGAAGGTGCCGGACCTGAGCGGTTTTTTGGAGGTCGCCGTACGACCGATTGGGCCTCGACTCCTCGACGTGCCTGATGGGAAATCGGTGGGGACCACCCAACCGTAAACTTCGCAGGCTCAGCCCCGCGTTTAGCTGCCGAGATGAGACGGGTCAGGCAGCATTCCGGGTGACTGGGTCGGTCATGGGGAATGTTTTTGTTATCCGAATACGTTTGCTTTAAGTGACGACACCCTTGTAAATTTGAACACGCAGTAGGCTTTCGCGACCAATGTTATGCATGATACAGAAGGTTTGTTTTTTGTTTGTTGGGAGATCCCATTGAACAGTAACAGGTACTGCTCTTTTAGTGCACACAATCGGCCTGGAGGTACACGAACAACGCGCGTGCATAATGCACGCTGATTACCATATAAATAGCGGAACCGGCAATGGATACCCACAGTCATTTATATGTGTAATCATTAATCCCCTCCCACGCTTCGCGCAAGAACAGCAAACGAGTGACGTCATCACATCTACCCCGCTTCTATTTAAGGAACGAAACAGGAGGATTTCTCCACACACTCTGGCTTTTGCCTGATTGTAAATGTTGTGGCTTGGCTCTCCAACACACAGGTGTTGCTGTACTAGTGACGAATTGGCCACGTTCTCTTTACTGTGGCAGACCTTACTAATTGGCTGTGTCGGGTGGTGGCGGGTTTAACGAAAACATTTATATATCTAAGCGGTCTAACACAACAACAACAACAACGTGTATTATGGACCTTTGTCATGGGCAACACGGCCATTGGAGCTAGAGATATTACTTTCAAAGGTTGCGACTCCACACGCTGTGCCAACAGTCGGCACGTTTTACTCGGGGCCTTGACCGCGTGCGAGAAAGCTGTCACGTGGCCTCGCCCTCCGAGCGTGCACCTAGCCTGGCACGGTCGCCGCGGTGACGTCACCGCCACTTGGTTGGGGTGCTGTAGTTAGCAGTTGCTGGATTTTTGCTGCGTGGGTGGAGGATTTATATCGTAACTTAGCAAATGCCCCCGAGTGAGTTTTCGGCACGAAGTGTGAGTTCATATTCATTATTACATGCTCTGCCAATGAGGGCAGAGGTTATTACCGCTGTGTAGATTTCTCAGCCACGGTTTAAAAACGAATTCCTGTAACTTTTAACTCGTCCGTTAGTTATTAAATTGCCAGGGTGATCGTGGAGGGGGGGGGGTCAGGTTTTAGTGCCATGTAAATTCGACTATCTAAGTAAGTTCGACACCCGGCCGTGGCGAACGAGAATGCGGGCAAGAGTGATATTTGAACCGGTGATGCATGGAGCCTTCACCACCAGCCTGCGCAGGCCAGCGTGAAGTATGGTTTAAACAATCGCCGTGACCGACGCAGCGCGAGGGTTGACAGCGGTGGATTGACAAAGGCTACATTAAAATTATTACGATGAATATTAAGTTTATTAATAGGGCGCTGATGGCGTGACGGCGATTGTACAATCGGATCATTTTGCTTGGGAACCCACTGAAATGTGGCAGTGGTTATGTAATGGATGTCGGTGGTGCTGCTCGTGGAACAACAGCACTTGCCCCAACAGGTTGCTGATGCTACACGCGGACGAGAGGGGGGACCTTCGTCGTTGGTAATGTCCGTAGTGTGAGTTGTTTATGGACTGAGGATGGTGACGGTGGTGGTGGTAGTGTTGTAATGGTGGTTGTGTGGTGACGTTGATGAGACGATGTGGTTTTATAATGATTGGTGGTTGTTTTGGCGATGGTGGTGGTTATGTGCTGGAGGTGATGGTCAGACTCAGAATCTCTATTTATACTGGAGGAATCCGATAAGCTATGAAGCTTTTTTTCACAGACGTCCAGTAGGGGGGGGGGGGGTCAGAAAGTTACAACAACAAACACGATAGGAGTGATTGTATCGGTTATCAGTGTACATACTGTAATCAACAACACACACAACCTTGCACCGAGCGTCCAATAGCGCTCAGCCTAAGCATTTTGAAAAACCACCAGTTCCTGAAGAACTGCATTGTGGCCATCTTGCCTTCAGTCACCATCAATGCACTGAGCAAAATGTGAACCTACGAAAGTTTAAATAATGCATGACACGGAGAGCTTTTGTAATAATCAGTGCACATTGTTATTCTTGGTTCTTTCGGTAAAGTCACGTTGAAGGGAAACAATACAATAATAAAACGTTGAAGGGAAACAATAAAATATTTAGTTTTGTCCCTTCAACGTGACTTTACCGAAAGAACCAAGAATATGAATCACTGCAGTCACGAAAGCTTTAAATCAAAATTTAGTGCACATTGTTGTTTATTGTTGGAACTATTTGGTTTCCGGTCTGCAATGATATTTTTGTACAGTGTATAGTATTGTTTTGCTCCTCGTTTACAGGTTAAATTATATTAATCGTGGCGCTGCTGTTGCTGAATATGGAAAAGTGTGATGCTTACAACGGTGGGCTTCAGATTATTTGGCTGCTATAAATTTCCACATGATGAGCCACTTCGTTGAGCTATCATTTGTGGCCAAGTCGCTTCTGAGAAAGAAGCTAATAGCTCAGTGGGCTTTACCCGATTAAATAAAAAAAACTGTTTAGTTTTAATAGTATTTTTGTGATTGTCTTACCTGTCCTATACTTT